AATTTTAGTAAATATAAACTGCAAATACCTTTTCTCATCAGCAGTTAGAGCAGTCTTGTGACTTCTATCAGTGTCCAGCAGAGCACTGGTTAAAGCTTGGAGTAGTTTTTTTCTGCTGTAGGAGGATGAAGAACCCCTGACCTCTGTTTGGACAGTTCTGATTGGCCCTGTGCTGATCACATGCACTCTCCCAAGAAAAAACATACCCACCAAACTGAAATGCAGTCTGTCTCCACATGATATTTCTTATCAGGAGATAAGAGGGGTGCACTGGAAGAAGGGGAGGATCAGAGAAATCAGGATCAAAACAGCATTTTTACACAATGGGGAGGATTAACCCCTTCGGTTCCACAGTGGGTATATCAAGCATGGTTTACTGCATATACAGACTGGTTTTACTGTTGTGGGTTTAATAACACTTTAACAAGTACTCTAAATAATTAATCAGAGGTGGTAATAGTTTTTGGGCAAAAGAAAACTGCAAATGCAAAAGGAACTGGTTGCAATAACTTGGGACCATGATTTAACAAATCAAATATTTCCCAGTTCTGCAAGAAAGATCAAAGAGTAATCTGAGACCAATCAGGGGAAACAGGCAATTTGTCTTTTTGACTAAAGCTAGCCACAAATGAATAGATTTGTTTTTGTTCAGCAAAATTCTAACAGATGCCTCTATCCACACTTTACAGCACAGATGTCACTGGCTGTCAGAATACCTGAACAGTGATTGCAACTGATTGGATGCAGCAACTGTACGGCTGACAAATTTCCACCTTGCTCCTTACATTTTTCAAAGGATGTTGGGAGGGAGGGGGCTGAAAAGGCCACCCATTAAGCAACTTCTCTTCGGTTCATCAGAAACTGGCCAACATTTGCACAGACATGTTCAAAAGATGTAAGCATTTAGATATTAAATACAAGTATTCAGATGCTTTTTTATTTGGGCACTTTATGAGGCAAAAAAAAAAAAAACAAAACAAATCACAGACCTTTCTTACATATAACATTTTTCAAAATATCAAATACTTTTCAACACATCAATAAACCCAAGCCTAAACTCCAATAACTAGACAAATTGGCAAAGAAACATTCATCCAGTAATTTTGTTGGACAGAAAAAGAATCTGACTACAGTTAGACAATATTTTTATATGGCAGTTTAATAGAGCTAATAATTCACAAGAAAATTAATGTCTTGCTGTGACATTAATGCTAGAAATTTTCTTGGCACTGAAACAAACGGTGATGCATCTTATTTAGAAGAAGCCCTATTTATACAATTTCAGCAAAGGTTTTACAACCGATTTTATGAAGCAGACATTTTCTGTAAAAAAAGCTTATGCTATAGAACAAAAATAGGAATTTTCATGTACTGCTATAAATCAGTGCTGCAGAAGATCCAGGGGCCTAATCTAAACCGTCATAGAACCGTATGCAGGTAATAAGAGTAAAAGATGAAGTCCAAGAAAAATTTAAATCTCATCAAAAAATAAAAGTGCAAGTCCCACGTAATGATGAAAAATGTGAATTAACTGACAAAAACTACAGATCTTTAGGAAAGGCAAAAAGTCCTTGACTCTTCCCACCTCTCTTGCAAACTTAAAATATATTTTTAAACCATCAAACTTCAATCACAAATGTCCTTATTCTACTTTCACACCTTGAGTTCAGGTTATGGTTTTAAAGCAGTGACATCATGCTAATTTCTGTGCATGCAAACCTGCCTCCAACTTGTCTAATGATTTGCGCACACAGTGCTATTTATTGCAGCATACATTACAGTGCAATGTCTAAAAAGGAGAAGATGCTCCTAAAGAAATAAAGTGCAATTTTACCTTGAACCTAACACCTCTGTTACCTCACTTGGACCCTCCCCCCCCCCCCAAAAAAAAAAAAAAAAAACTGCAACCAAATTATAGTGGCACTAAACCTTAAACATTTTTTTACCCTAATGCATTAGGTATTAAGTATCACCCCCAAACCCTCACTTGATCCAGCCGGCTCTTGATGCTCTCACTGGCCTTGCTGAGGCAGCAGGAGCCTTTGACTGCCACTGCTGTCAGTTAACCATTTGCCGCCCGCCGAATGGCGGCCAGCAAATGTCATCAGCGTTCCGGGTGGACGCCATATGGCGTCCTCCCGTACATGGCAGATTGCGCTCCTGCAGAACCGCGCAGCGGCGCGATCAGTCACCGGCCGCATACCTCGGACACAGCCGATGACAGATCTGAGTATCGGCCCCCGTTGTCGGTACCATGTGACCTGCTGTGACCAATCACAGCAGTTCATGACAGTTGTATACAATGGATGGCTTCATTCATGCCATCCATTGTATACTAGTGTCTTGCTGTGAATGGTCACAGCTAATCACATGCACATGTCATGCGATTAGCTGTGGCCAAATCACAGCTAAGCACAAAAAAAAAACAAAACAAAAAAAACCCCCTGAATGAATCGATGTCATTCAGGTAAATGCTTGCTGTTAGCAAATTGTGTAAAAAAAAAATAATACTGATCACTTCCCCAAAGTAGTACAATGTTACTATGGATTTTATTTTTACAGAGAGATGTGTGCCTTTCCAAATCATGTTCTATCAATTTAATTTACCACAGGTGGACTCCAATCAAGGTGTAGAAACATCTCAGCAATGATCAAAAGAAATGGAAGGCACCGGAGCTAAATACCAAGGGTTGTTGCAAAGGGTCTGAATACTTAAGCCAATGTGATATTTCCATTTTTCCTTTTTCATAAATTTTCAAAATTCTGTTTTCACTTTGTGGACGAATGAGAAAAAAAAATGAATGTAAACAACTCTTGTATCAGGCTGCAACATAGCAAAATAGAAAAAAGTGAATGGGGGTCTGAATACTTTATGAATGCACTGTAAAAAAAAATAACTTTCTAACCATTTTAAAGGTCCATCTGTCCCAATAATAAAATAAAATACATTAGAGCAAGACTAAAAAAATAAAAAGTTACTAGGTGTGTGGATATGTTATTTGAAGAGAGAAGACGACTAAGGGTTGAATAGCGTGAACGAAGAGTTAAAAAAGAAAAAAAAAGGATTTTTATTTTACTAAAATGCTTCTCTGTTTAACTTGTCAGGCTGCTTTAACTGACATAATTTACAGATCTAAGTTCATCCCTTTGATCTGCAGATGAATGAACAGAAAGATACAAATTAAACAATATGTAACATTGTATCCTTATATAATGGGGGTCTACAGCAGTGTTGTTTACAAACACTGATACAGCAAGCTTTTTTGACAGCTACAGTGGACGACAGACACCCTGAGTATACAGTAACACCTTAATGAAAGACATGATGGGGGGTGTACCAGAAGCAGGGCAGAGAGAATGGACACATCCTGTGAATAGGGATTACTTTTTTTTGGTTGTGTGTGGCATGTCAAAGTGTAAGTGTGTAGGTATTTTTGCAAACAATTGTGGAAGTGGAAGTCTATATGAGTGTACAGTCCATGAGTGGTCCAATGTGGAATATACCACACAGCCAGATGCCCAATGTGTGAAAAAGTACCACTTTGTATTTTTAAAAATGTGTGCGCTATAGTTATAATTCTATAAAATAATATGTCCTAAACAAGTTTACAGTACCAGAATGTTCTGTTGATACAAGTTTTTTTTTTTTTAATGTAAAATTGTTATAGCTTTTACTGGTCATTTGACAGTTTAATTTGTGCAGCTTTATTTTATGTGTCACAAACCGAAATTAGTTCAAATATTGATTTTATGTTCTATTTAAACTTTTCTCTCACACTTGAGAACTTTGGTTTAAAACCACTTGCCAACCTCCCTATAGCAGATGTACTGCTACAGGGCGGCCGGTCTGTGCAAAAATCACAATTAGCCACAGCAGAAGCCGATCAACGGGTGCCAGCCAATGGATGAGTACCGACACCCGTTGACCGGCGAGGAGAGTGACAGTACACGGCTCTGCCTATGTAAACAAGGCAGAGCTGTGTCCTGTCAGTGGAGATCTGCTGTATTTTCTTTCCCTGCCAAGCAAGGAATAAAATCCAGCACATTGCTTAGTAAAATCACCACACTGTGTACAGAAAAACACTGGTTAGGCAAAGGTTACCACTTTGATCGCCCTAGATATTTAACCCCTTCCCAGCCAGTGTCATTAATACAGTGACAGTGTATATTTTTAGCACTGATCATTGTATTAGTGTCACTGGTTCCTACAAAGTGTCAGTTAGTGTCAGACTTTCCACCGCAATATCAAAGTCCCGCTATAAGTTACTAATTTCTTCAAAATTGAGTATTTTTTTTATAGCGCAAAAAAAACAGAGGTCATCAAATACCACCAAAAGAATGCTCTATTTGTGGGGGGGGAAAAAATGACAAATTTCATGTACAGCATTGCATGACCGCACAATTGTCAGTTAAAGTAATGCAGCGCCATATAGTAAAAAAATGGCCTGGTCACAAATGGGGATAAATCTGCCAGAGGGAAAGTGGTTAAAGGCACAAAACATAATAAATGCACATATTTGCAGGAAAAAAAGTGCATTGGTTGTTTTTTTCTGCAGGAGCCTGGAAAGCATTGCATCGTAATCAGTAGATCATGAGTGCAATGTGTCACCTCCTGCAAACGTGTCTTCAGGCTTTGAGAAGCAATATTTACACTTGTAAACAATGCTCTAGACTTGCATCACCAGCTATGATCATAGCAATCATATGATACCCATGTATATTATAACACTTAAGATACTATACAAAACTTCTTAAAGCACCTGAAGTGTGGATGATGTGGCCAAAAAAAGACAAAGCTCTAGTCACCAGTATTACCTGTACTCTGACTGCAATCTTCTCCCCATTACTGCCTTACCCATATCATAGCAAATCTGTTTTTGAGCAAAGGTTCACTTTAAGGTCTTACATAGATAACTTCTGTATATCAATAATGGCAAGGTAAAAGCTAGTATCTAAACTAATGCAACATTTCTCATATGAGCAACAGTAAATAGTCTCACCTGTCATTGATGGTGCTTCTTTCCGTTGTCCACTCTGCGTTGTAGTTGCTTCATATGCAACAGTGACATCATAAACAGCATCCAGGTAGTCATGCATAGTGTCAATTGTTACATGAGTTGCCTTCACTCGTGGAGTCAACACATGCTTTAAGACTGGCAACCCTAGGAAAAAGGTAGATTTTAAATAATTAAATGTTACCTTAATAATTATATATATATATATATATATATATATATATATATATATATATATATAGAGTGTGTTTTTCATCTAAAATAGACTTCCACGTAAAAATCTGCATTGTTTTGCGCAGAGATTGATCAGAGCGAGTTGTGTACAATCCCATTAAGTTCTTCCACTCACCAATGCTTACTTTTTTTTTTTAAGCCAGTGAGAATAACACCACATATACATACACACTCTTCCTATTTTTCTAAAAACTAAACTGAAGAAAATGTAGAAGCCAGGACACAAAAACCATTTAATTTAAACTGTGTAATTTAAAAAATGTCTTATGCTTTTAGGATTTGTGCTTTAGGATACTTAACAATTATGAGTGAATTTTCATAGATAAGGCTTAAAAGGAGAAGTACAGCCAAAGCTCATTTGGCTGCACTTCTTCTGTGGGTCACAGGAGTGCAGTGCGTTCTGCAATTCTGTGACCCATTTTCAGCTGACAGCCGGCTGATGTCGCTCAGCTGGTCCAGGCTGGGGAAAGATCCAGACTTTAAAAGTCGGGATCCACCCCAGAGTGTAGAACAGCACCTGGCTCAGCCTGTCAGCAATCTGCTGAGAGCATGTGCCAGCTGCTCCCCACCCCCCTCCACAGCCCAGCACTCCAGTGAGTGAGGGGGGGCAGAGCAGAGAGTGGTGACTGACGGTCACCGCTCTTTGCACACAGCGGTGATGAGAACTCAGCGCTCAGTGATTGTGTGATCACTGAATTCTCACACTTAAAGACGGCAGGGGACAGATGCAGCATCTGTCTGATGCTGCATCCACTTAGGTAAGTATGATTTGGGGGAAAAAAAAAAACAAAAACAGATCTTATACTTCTCTTAACCCTAGTTTGAAACAAACAGGGTATAAACCAAGATGCTTCCATTGGTTTTCACTCAAACTTAAAACATCCAACATCACTAAAGATCATTAAACAATACCAGAAACGTTTACATCTTATTAGGACTTAAACACTGTAAGTAACATGAATTTCGTTAAAGGCAGTAAATTTAAATAAAAGAGCATGCAAACCCAGAATTATTCACCTTGCAGTGACCACAGCACATGCAATTGACCGTTTATAGTCGTGGGAATGGTGTTTAAGAATCCCAAGAGCTTATTTCACCTAGATATGAAATCAGTTATATTAAACAGATGCAGACATGTTTTGGTTTTAGATGATGACTGAGTTACCAATTTATTACTGTCACTTGAAGGTTGTTTGGGGATAAATTTGCATGCTCCCTAATGCATGTTAAGCCATAAGATAAACTTGCAAGCTTAGAGGCTAATTCTCTGCAATATATTGTAAGGGTCTGTCTAGTACTAGATCAGTGCTTCAGAGGCGACAATTTTTAATCTCTTCGTTATTGGCACATTTTGGAGCACGGCTCTGCTTTGACTCTTAGATATCCTGTTTGAAATTGTTCATGTACATTCCGCGACATGAAAAGGCTTCATAGCAGGAGAAATATTGAAGACTAACAACAATGGCTAAAGGAATGCTTGTGTTCTTTAGCCAAATGGACCGAGTGCCCAGGACAAAAACGTGCTTGAAATAAGATAGCCTTTGGATACATTGCCATTCACAATTTAGACACATTTATGGTAATTGTACAAAGAAAGCTTCATAGCTGGTACACAAGTTTCTGGTAAAATGAACCTGTCACCTCAAGATTTACTTGTATACAGTAGCTCAAATTCACAATATCTTCTATTGTTTCCTGCATACCGTTTCTGAGCTTTTACACACCACCCAAGGTACTTTATTGGACTACTATGCCAGACCTATAGCTGGCAGTCTTGAATATATATAATTTTTCTAACTGAACAAGCAGATATTTTAGAGCAGCATTTTCCTTGTATTTACAGTGATCCAATTTTTAGCATCACATGAAGGTCTGATAGAACATATAAGCCACAATTCTAAAAGAAAGGATAATGGGACTTTAAACATAAATCCGGGGGGGGGGGGGGGGGGGGAAGTACATTGAAATAGTATTAAAAACAAGTTGTCTTTTTTTTGAACATATCAGGTCACCCATTGTCCCTAAAATGTCATACATATACAAGAAATGATTTTAAAACATAATTTGCAGGCATTATAGATAATTATGGTACAGGTCTACACACTTCACAGAAATCACCACTTCCTCAGGACCTTGTCTGTCTTAAATGAAGATATTGCCATTTGTATTGAACTAGAAGTCAATAAAATACTTAACAGAACCCACATAACAAAAACAGCAATTAGTTTTTTAAAGATGGCTCCTAGTCCTGGATGAGATTTGTCAAAGTAAGGGTTCCTTCACACTTGACTGTTTTTCCAACTCTTGCCAAACGCCCTTATAGCATTTGACAAGCGTTGGTCCGGCGTTTACAGAGCGTTTTTAACGTTCCGCAAACGCCCGCATGCGCGGTTTAGCGGCAGTTGCTAGGCATCTGTCAAGCGTTAAAAACACCCCACAAACGCCTATAATGAAGTTTGAATGGTGTTAACGCTCCACAAACACCCCACAACCGCACACGTCGGCCGGGTGTTTGCAGAGCGGCACCATAGACTTGAATAGGAGGCTTTCACTCCTCCTGACTCGACCAGAGGCGTCCGTTTTGCCGTGATGCAGCGCGAAGCTAACGCTCCCGTTTGAACAGCACCATGTGCTGCAATGTGCAGAATTTTCCAAGGTGTTTGGGAAACGGTAAAAAACGCTTCCCAAACGCCTGTCTGCCGCTTGCTAACAAGGCTAGTGTGAATGTAGCCTTTGTCCTGTCGTGCCAGTTGTTATGATTCTTAATGTTCCCTGCTGATGAAGTAAAAAAAAAAGCAGTATGGCATGTTAGAAACGTATTCAGAAAATGCTCAATAAACAGATCGATGAGCATACACAGGAAGGACCAACATAGGCCTGTTTTGAAACATTCAGAAATTGCCGACAGGTCTGCCAGACAGTAGGTGGCAGCATGCGGTAAGCAAGGTAGCGGTCTGGCGGTTTCCAAGACCAACGTGACGTCAGGCTGCCTCTGTTCTTAAGTCGGATGTTTGTAACTCGGGGGCATGCCTGTATTGGTAATCAGTTGACAGCTTCCCTGCACCCTCAAAGAGATTATTAGGACACAGGCACCTTGGAGTCTAAATGTTTTGATGGCTTCTGCCCTTAATTACCATCTAGGTTGCAGGAATGAGTTCACCCAAGTTTTATGCTGTGTTGAGCCCTGATGAAAGGAGAGTGTTGTTGCCTCTGAAATGTGTTGAAAGTTTTACTAACAATCGAAATTGTCTTGGGACTCTTATCTGATTTTGGTCTTTCTGTAGTTATATGGTTAGGGCTTTGCTCCAGGCAGACCAAGGTCACAGACCTGTAAAGCACCTTGTGGCTACTCCACATACTGCATTATGTGCCAAGGATAACACCACAGGATCCAGTGCATGTCAACAATATTACAGGCCTACCCCACATCTTCTCTCTAGCCAGGTCTGAGTACGATCCCCCAAAGCTCTGCTGGAAGTAGCATAAAAAAATCGAAGTGGCTATGGTGCAATATAGATCTTGGGAGAATAATCAGCTTTAAGTAACCAACTTGATGTAAGAAGATAAGTTTCTCTCAGCAAATAGATGATGTCCATCGTCTAAGGACACTAGAAAAAAAAAAAAACTGAAGCTAACGGAGTGAGAGGAGTTATATGAAAGGTCTTAGGAGCTTTTGTGTCAAATCACCTGAAGGTAACTGCATGTATACCAGTTGTAATGATTTAAAAAAGCCTGTGTCCTGTACTCTACAGCCAGGAAATACACATTTTAAGGGATTAACTTTAGAAGTTATATGTCAGACTAGAATACCTGATATTATATATATATTTATTTTAACTCTTTGGCGCCGACAGTACGCATATATACGGCCACTCCTGGCATAGTTACCAGCAGCTAATGGAAAGTAGCGATCAAAAGCTTTCTGATCACTGTGACAGCCAATCACGGCGGTCACATGATCATAAACCCTGCCCTGCCTCCCAGCATCTGAAGAGGTGCCAGCGTCAAGGGGATAAAAAGAAAAACAATTGAAATAAAGCTTAGCTTGACAACAAAAATACACTGTACTCTGCTAGAATGAGAGCTTTTAATTGTTTGCAAGTGTCAGAGAATCATTTATCATGACAGTTCTATCTTTATTTTACCTTCTTTCATGGAAAAGGCTTGGCTATCGGCAATGACCTGTGGTATATCAGGATTGTAACGTGTTCCTTCTGGGAATATCACAAGGTACATCTGAAAATAGAAACAAATATCTACAATAAGAAACCCAGGGCTTGGCTAATTTTCAACATCAAAAGAAATGAAAAGTTTACAAAATGTCTGGAAGGAGATCTATAGAAAAGGATAATCCAGCAGTATGTGATTGTGACAGAGATCAGAAATATTAGATTTTTTAAAAAATAGGGAAAGAGGAAAAACCTCTAAAAAAGAACATTCGTTACTTGAAATGAACTGAAAAGCACCATGTAAAATTTTAGCTGATCTGCTTAATTGATTAGTGAGTTCTGGTGACCAGAGGGTGTGGAGGTATGGAGTCTCTCAGTAGGGAATACTGAATTTTTTGTATCAGGATGGGCAGACATTCTAGCACCAACTATGTGGGCTGAAATCTCTGCAGATCCCAAGGTACAACATAGCAGACCTGTGCTAAAAGAAGAAGGTGTCAGACTTTTCAGAGCTTTCTCCAGTGACGGAAACGAGAGCCCTGTTTGGACGTCCCACTGGAATGAGACTAGAAGGGGGTTGAAGATTAATGCCCACATGGACGATAACCTACTTTCTGGACAGTGTGACTGCTGGGACCAGCAGCATTTTGGCTGTGCCTACTGCCCTGTGGACTACTTCCCCCTGAGGTTCCACAGTGCTATTTTGTTGACTACTTCTCCTTGTCATGCTTCTCTTACTCTCACAATGGCTGTCTGTGTGGTCCTAAAGCTGTGGCCAGGACACCTTGCCCTCTGAGGGCCTACAATTGGCCTGGGAAGGTCCTGTGTCCTCCGTCCTCTGGACCTCCCTTCCCTGACACCATACCTGAACTCCTTTTGGCTGAGGTTGTGGTCGGCTGGTGAGTCATCTAAACTCTTGCTGTGCTAGGATCCCTGCTTTGTGTGCTGGACTGTACCCTACCCTGCTGTGCTGGATTACTGCCTTGTGTGCTGGACCTCGATTCTTGCTGTGCAAGAATCCCTGCCCTCTGTGCTGGACTGTACCCTTACTGTATTCTACCCTGCTGTGCTGGACCTAAATTCTTGCTGTTCCAGGATCTCATTTTTCATACAAATTCATAAACCTCAGCAGGAAACTGAGCACATTGATATGAAGCATATATTCGGATAGGTCATTTTAATATGAGTCACATGACACCTCACATCCCTATGTAGCTCCTACAAGAGGGTAGAAAGCAATTTCTTTTATCCAGGAGTGGCAGGATATGCTACAGTTTGGTATCTGCGCGTTTGGAATATGATTCTAAATATTAATCTGCCAGTTGCTAGGATGCTACCTGTACCTATTGAAGGTTATTGACCATAGTATGAACTTGTAAGGGATTTGGTCCTAACCTTGGTCACCGCCTAACACCCATCCCCAAATGAGGCGATTGGCTATTTGCTCTCAGGAGACACCCCTTTGAGATAATAAAAAAAGACGGACAGCCTGGAGAAAAGTATGAGCTCTCCCTTTTAACATCAGGAACCATCTTTGGGAGAAAGGCACCTTTTTGTTCGGACGACTGGTCGGTCTCTCTCTCTATATATATATTTGTTACATCTTTTTCAGTAAATATTTTAATTGCACCATTTTGACCTTTTTAGTAATAAATCCTATTTTCTGAAAAGTGTTAAACGGTCTCTAAAGCTTTTAATGCAAACTAAATCTCTGTCTCTGAAGAGTTCTACTGTATATATTAGTCCTCTGAATACATCTGTCTGTGGTGACAGTGTGTTGCAGACGCTTATGCTAATATCATAAGTGTTACTGCTAAGATTTGTGAGTTTCCTCCTTCTCTGTAAAAAGGTGGTGGTGGTGGCAGTGAAAAGGGTTGATTGCGTAATTAACCTGACCCAGTAACAATCGCTATCAGGCTGCTGGCACATAGATTGTGGTCCCGCAAGCTGGAAAATCCTTGTGCAGGGCGCAAATGGGAGAGGCATTGTTACACAGAGGCATTGTGACATCGCGGTGTGAGATCGGCTGGTCCTTCGGTCACGGTGAGAAGGGCTGGGGTCTGACGCCGCGTACCATCACACCCTGTGCCTCTGGACTTATCCCTTGATGTGCCCTATTACCATGCTGTTACGATATATTGTGGTGCAATGGATAAATATGCTATGTGAATGCATAACTTGGACTGTATCTGGACCTAAAGGGCAAACGAGCCACAAACCTGCGAAAACGGCCTATTTTACAGCATAGTAATATTCTACTCCAATTTTATTCAACACCATAACCATTCAGATAACAGTGGCTTAACCGCTTGCCCTCTGCTCTCTAGCAAAAGTACTACTACAGGGTAGTAGGGCTGCACAAAAAATCACACACACACACGTGCTTTGCATCTCCGGGTATGGGGCGCGCAGGCACCCTACCCACACCACTATTAGATGATTGGGATGTCAATCACTGAGTCCTGGCCATCATGTGATCATTGGTAAGGCTGAGAGGGGAGAGATCTGTGTGTAAACAATACAGATCCCTCTCCTGTCAGCATGGATGTGCTGCTTTATACTCACAGCCCACAATGTAAAACACACACATAGCACACAGTTAACCCTTTGATCACCCTTAGATGTTAACCCCTTCCTGCCCAGTATTTTTAGCACTGATCACTGTATTAGTGTCACTGGGGATGTCAGTGGCCGTTAGTTCCCACTCAGTGTCAGAATGCCCGCCGCAGCACCTCTATAAGTCGCTGATCAACGCCATTACTAGTATATTAAAAAAAAAAAAGTATATATACCATTTGTAGACGCTATACCTTTCATGTAAACCAATATAAAACTTATTGTGACTTTTTTTTTTTTTTTAGCAAAGACAGTTTGGCCTAAACTTATAAAGAAATTTGATTATTATTTTTTTCTTGGATATGTTTTGTAGCAAAAAAGTCAAAAATTGTTTTCTTTTTTCAAAATTGTCTTTTTTTTGTTTATAGCACAAAAAAATAAAAAAACTGCAGAGGTGATCAAATACCCCGGAAAGAAAGCTCTATTTGTGGGAAAAGAAATGACAAATTTCATTTATGTACAGCATTGCATGACCGCGCAATTGTCACTTAAAATAACGTAACCCCATATCACAAAAAAATGACCTGGTCAGGAAAGGGGGTAAATCCTCTGGAGGGCAAGTGGTTGAAGGGTTTAAATTACATAGCAGGCTTGGTTTTAAAAGAAAAAACACAGGTAATTGGCGCTGAGAGAAGACAAACACCATAACAAAGTCGCAATATCAGAAAACAGTCCATAGAGTCCATGGCATAAGCACTACATTGTGACAGCTCCTCAGAGTGAAGCAAAACTCTGTGGAGATATAAAAAGAAACAAGCGGGCACCAGCCTAAGTGGAGTATCAAATACAAGTTTATTAAAAATAACCAAATTACTACTCATATGTAAGGTAAGGTAAGTATATGGGCGTTTAATGGGTCCCAAAAGGACATATGCAGGGGCCGGGTGTGTGTCCACTGGAGTCCGGGCACCGAGGGTCTGGTGTGAATGTGAGCAGTCAATCGGGAACGCTGTAACCAACGTGGAACACACGAAAGACCGGGCCGGAGGCAACATCCAATAGGAAAGCGAGGATGAATCAGGTGACGAGTCAGGAATTCACTTCCAAGGAACATCAAAGAGTCATGAGTCTGATGTTCCTTGGAAGTGAATTCCAGAGTTTTGGAGCATAGCAGGAGAAGGCTCTGTCTCCCATCGAGTGTAAAGGAAAGAACAGGCTTTTCTATTCACAAGACTATTTCTGAAGCCTGTTTTCCCCCATACCCTCAATGTATATACAAAAAATGGTCTGAAGAAAAAGGGGAAACTTTGAAACGTGTCACCTGACTCATCACCTTATTCATCCTCGCGTTCCTATTGGATGTTGCCTCCGGCCGGTCTTCCGTGCATTCCACAATGGATACAGAGTTCCCGACTGACGGCTCACATTCACACCAGACCCTCGTGTGACGGGCGCGGGTCAGACCCCTGACCTTCTCACCAAACTCGTGACCGAAGAACTAGCCAATCTGAAACCGTGATGTCACGTGCGTAACAATGCCACGCCCAGCTGCACCCTGCACAATGATTTTCCAGCTAATTGGACCACAATCGATGTACCTGCAGCCTGGGAGCGTTTGTTACTGGGTCAGGTTAATTCCACAATTAACCCTTCACACTGCCACCACCTCCTTTTTGTACAGAGAAAGAGGAAACTCAGCAATACACTAGGATGATTGGTTAATCGTCGGCATACCGCTATCTCCACAGACAGGTTATACAGAGGGTTAAACACTCATAGTAGCGCTCTTCAGCGGTAGGGATTCGTAAGTCACATTAAAGGGCTATAGAAACAGTTCAACACTTACAGAAAGTAAGATTTATTACTAAAAGGTCAAAAGGGTGCAGTAGAAATATTTACAGAAAAAAAATGTTTTATATATATATATATATATATATATATATATATATATATATATATATATATATACACACACACACACACATACATACATACATATACACACACACATACAGAGCACAACAGCACAGCAAACAGATAACAGAAAGAGGTTTAGGTAAATAAGTGGTTGCCAAATAGATGCCTGGGGTTAAGCAGTTTCAAGTCTGATGAGCTAAAAAGGAATTTCTGGTCTCGCACTCAGTTTTGTTGTTACAGCGAGATTCCCCTCTCTGTCTGCTAGATGTTAAAACGCAGAAGGTCTTCACTTCTCTGTCTACACACAAAACATAACAGCCTCTTTTTCTACCCAAAATCAATGGGGTGTCTCTTACAACAGAACCCAATTGCCTTATTTGTCAAAGAATTGTTAGGCAGGGGGCTCAGCATCATATACTGATTGCATTCCTGAGGGAGGGGGAAATGAGGGGATAACATTAAGACTTCCTAACACAGTGAGGGCCGTGCCTGGCTCTCATATGCACGATTGCTACACCTCCCCCCTCAGGTAATTGCATAGGAGTTTAAGAGAAATACCAAAATGCAGAAGTATGGAGCAAAATGGAGAACCAC